ATATATATATATATCTATATATATATATATATATATATATATATATATATATATGTATATATATATATATATATATATATATATATATATATATATATATATATATATATATATATATATATATATATCTATATATATATCTATATATATATATATATATATATATATATATATATATATATATATATATATATATATATATATATATATATATATATATATATATATATATATATATATATATATATATATATATATATATATATATATATATATATATATATATATATCTGTCTATATATATATATATATATATATATATATATATATATATATATATATATATATATATATATATATATATATATATATATATATATATATATATATATAATTCTCATATGAATATTCTCCTTGTTACGAATATATTTATTTCCCAGAGATGGGTTGCGGCTGGAAGGGCATCCGCTGCGTAAAAACTTGCTGGATAAGTTGGCGGTTCATTCCGCTGTGGCGACCCCGGATTAATGAATGAATATGAATGAATATATTTACTGTCACCTTTGAATAATTTAAAGCAATAGTTCACATAAAAATGGAGATTTACGCACACTCAAGTGGTTCCAAACCTTTATTTTTTTCTGTTGAACATGAATGACGATGTTAGGAATAATGTTGAGGAAAAAAGCAGCCATTGCTGTCCATAGTAGGAACCAAAATTACTACGAATGTCTATTTTCTGTATTATACACGTGATTATCGTCACTTTTGCATTATTTAAAGGAACAGATCACCCAAATTAATATAAAATGCACAGACAGAAACTCAAACAGGTTTGGAACCAGTGGAGGGTGAGTAAATGATGACGGAATTGTTTATTTTTTGTGTGAACTGTCCCTTTAAGACATCCTGAATCCTACTGAGTCAGCACTTTTGAACAGCAGAGTACATTCAGTTTTACTAGACGCTAGAGTTCTGTCTGTGTTAATTATTGACTGAATGTCCTGAAATCCTCAAGACGAGGAGTTACAATAACATTCTCAGCTATATGTTAGTGGTTATAACCAGTGGTGTAAAGCAACAAATTACAAATACTCAAAATACTACCCAGATAGCATATGAATGTGGGCCACTTTAGGCAGTTATGCGGCACTGGTGGTCTTCCTTCGGCCCAGACTAAATGAATGTGAGCGTGAAGTGGCCCACCATTACATTGCCAAAGGTGGGCCAAAGATTCCAATTAATATATGGGCCATTTAAGACAAAAATGTGGCACTTATGGCAAAATGTAACTGAATGTGAGTCTAATGTGGCCCATGTGGAGAATGATAAATTTGACCCAAATAATGGAGGATAAATGTGGGCCACGGTTGGCAAAATAGTGGCATAGTCATTTAAGGGTAATCTGGGTCTAAACCTAAAGTGGCTCACATATGTAGGTGCAAATGTGGCCCAGATATCTTAAGACATATGTGGGCCACTTTTAGCAAATATTCGGCACAGTAAACTCTGGCTAATGCAACCATTAGCCCATAGTGGCCCAGAGCAGATATGGGAAATGTGGACCAGTTTACCTCAAACAAATGTGGGCCACTTTTAAGAACTTTGCTTGAGAAGTTTGTTCATTACAGCAAAAAAAATGAAGGGAGGCACAAACTGTGATGAATTAATATGATTCACTGATGTTTACCAATGTTTAATCCATTATTAGAAGCAATAGGCCAGATCTGGGCCAGAATAAAAGCAAATTGTGGCCCAGAATAGGGTCAGTTCTGTTTAATTAGGCTGAATTCTGGCTGATATGTGGTGTTGCTTTGGCTTTTTTGTGGCTCAGATCTGGCAAACTGGAGCGGACCGCCCTAGAGCCATCAGTCTATTCAGTGTGTGGTTCAGATGTAAGTGTCTGATGTGGGCCGGATCTGGGCCAGAATAAAAGCAAACTGAGGCCTAAAATAGGGTCAGCTCTTGCTCACTTGCTTAAATTCTGGCTGATATGTGATATTGCTCTGGCTTAATTGTGGCCCAGATCTGGCAAACAGGAGCGGACCGCCCAGGTGCCATCATTCCATGCGGTATGTGGGCCGGATGTGAGTGTCTGGTGTGGGCCGGATTTGAGCCACATGAGTTTTGCTAGCTGTGTAACGCTATATTCACAGCGAAGCACGACCAAGGTGCGAATTACAGGCGGGTTTGGGGAGGATTGACAATCCTACTTAACGCTTGATCTCCCCTAAAGGACGTGGGGGGGATCAGCCCTTTAATAGTGAGAAATAGTTCAAGCTGATCTGTATTTGAAACAATAATGTTAATGATTAAAATAACAGATAATAAAAATATACATTTGACCACCCCTATAATGGTTAATACCACTGTGAATCCATAATCGCACCAATCAAAAGACACTCTCAGGTACATTGGTATTCGTATACAGTCAATTAGATAGATACATAGTTTGTATCCAAGCTAGAAAAATTCATGTGGCTTAAATCCGGCCCACACCAGACACTTACATCCGGCCCACATACCGCATGGAATGACGGCACTTGGGCGTTACGCTCCTGTTTGCCAGCCGAGGCTCGAACCAGCGACCTTCTTGCTGTGAGGCGATTGTGCTAACCACTGAGCCACCGTGGTGGTATTCATTCATTCATTTTCTTTTCGGCTTAGTCCTTTTATTTATCAGGGGTCACCACAGAGGAATGAACCGCCAACTTATCCAGCATATGTTTTACGTAGTGGATGCCCTACCCAATTCACCTGTACCGCATGTCTTTGGACTGTGGGGGAAATCGGAGTATCACACATAACAAGACCCAAACGTTTGTTTAAACATCTTTATTCACAGTGAAAAATTTAAAAATATGCATTTTGATAAACGGAAATATAAAAAATAGGGATTGAACAGACATCATTTTGACAGAGAACATATTTACACAGACAGATATGACAGCGGCTTTGCTAAAATTAATTTCTATGATCTCTAGCTAAAGAGACAGTAACATTTGTTCTGCCGAAAGAAAGAACATCACGTTCATACAAGCGCACATCATGATTACATCCAACAAAACAGTACTGCAAATAAACGAAATATTCCCTGTAATGTCCAAAACATGGCTTCAAATATCCATTATTGTGCATATAGTTCAGTACAGTACATCATACGCCACTTTGGTATGAGATGAACCCGCCATCTCTCTGAAAAACCAAACATGAAATTAAAACAAGCTGAATCTGGCCCAGAATCTAAAATGCTGAATGTAACGCCGAGTTGCATGATTTTAGCCCCAATTTTGACCAATCAGAGCAGACTAGGGCCTTCGCCTATTCAATTAGAACAGAGGAGGGCCCTGATATGACCAATCAGAGCAGATTAGGGTAATCTGGCCAATCAGAGCAGACTTTAGCCTCCATATGTCCAGTCAAAGCAGAGTAGCACCTTTACCTGTTCAATCAGAGCAAAGGAGGGCCTTCATATGACCAATAAGAGTAGATTGGGGTAATCTGGCCAATCAGAGCAGATTAAGGCCTCTATCTGTCCAATCAGAGCAAACTAGGGCCTTTACCTGTTCAATCAGAGCAGAGGAGAGCCTTTCTATGATCAATCAGAGCAGATTAGGGTAATCTGTCCAATCAGAGCAGCGTTTGAGCCTCCATCTGTCCTGTCAGAGCAGACTAGTGCCTGCACCTGTCCAATTAGAGCAGATGAGAGCCTTCATGTGACCAATCAGAGCAGAGTAGGGCCTTTAAATGGCCAATCAGAGCAGAGGAGGGTCTTCATATGACTAATCAGAGCAGATTTTGATCATCGGGCCAATCAGAGCAGAGTAGGGCGTCCCTCTGTCCAATCAGAGCAGAGGAGGTCCTACGCATGACTAATCAGAGCAGATTTGGGTCATCTGGCCAATCGAAGCAGAGTAGGACCTCAATCTGTCCAATCACAGCAGACTAGGGCCATCACCTGTCCAATTAGAGCAAAGGAGGGCCTTTATATGACCAATTAGAACAGATTAGGGTTATCCGGCCAATCAGAGCAGAGTTGGGCCTGTAAATGTCCAATCAGAGCAGAGGAGGTCCTACACATGTTTAATCACAGCAGATTTGTGTCATCTGACCAATCGGAGCAGAGTAGGGCCTCAATCTGTTCAATCAGAGCAGACTAGGGCCATCACCTGTCCAATTAGAGCAGAGTAGGGCCTTCGTATGACTAATTAGAACAGATTAGAGTAATCTGGCCAATCAGAGCAGAGTAGGGCCTCCATCTGGCCAATAAGAGCAGATTAGGGCCTCTATCTGTTCAATCACAGAAGACTAGGGCCTTCACCTGTCCAATCAGAGCAGAGGAGAGGCTTCATATGACCAATCAGAGCAAATTAGGGTTCTCTGGCCAATCAGAGCAGTGGACAGTTTTCATATGACCAAATAGAGCAAATTAGGGTAATCTGGCCAATCAGTGCAGACAATTGCCTTCACCAGTCCAATCAGAGCAGAGGAGGGCTTTCATATGACCAATCAGAGCAGATTAGGGCCTCTATCTGTCCAATCCGAGCAGAATAGGGTCATCTGGCCAATCGGAGCAGAGTAGGGCCTTGATCTGTCCTATCAGAGCAGACTAGGGCCTTCACCTGTCCAATCAGAGCAGAATAGGGTAACCTGGCCAATCCAAGCAGAGTAGGACCTCTATTTGTCCAATCAGAGCAGAATAGGGCCTTCACCTGTCCAATCAGAGCAGAGGAGAGTCTTTTAATGACCAATCAGAGCAGATTAGGATCATCTAGACAATCAGAGCAGAGTTGAGCCTCCACCTGTCCAGTAAGAGCAGAGTAGGGCCTTCACCTGTCCAATCAGAGCAGAGGAGAGCCTTCATATGACCAATCAGAGCAGATAAGGGTAATCTGGCCAACCAGAGCAGAGTTATTCCTCCAGCTGACAAATCAGAGCAGAGTAATGCCTCAATCTAACCAATCAGAGCAGAGGAGAGCCTTCATATGACCAATCAGAGCAGATTAGGGTAATCTGGCCAACCAGAGCAGAGTTATTCCTCCATCTGCCCGGTCAAATCAGAGCAGAGTAATGCCTCCATCTGACAAATCAGGGCTGAGAGGTGTCATCTAACCAATCAAACAAGAGTAGGGCCATCTGACCAGTGAGAAGAGAGAAGAGCCATCTGACCAATCAGAGCAGAGTAGTGCCTCCATCTGACCAATCAGGGCAGAGTAGACTCTAAAAGCCCAGTTGAGTGAGACTGGATCCTTGTACCAAACATTTCAGACACTATGGAAGAAGAGCTGACGCTGCAGCGTGCAATTAAAGACAACTCTTCACCTAAATAAAGTTCAAATCATACTTTAAACAGTCATAAAGAGGGCACTTTAACACCTCTGGCTTGGAAAAGTCACAAAGTTAGCGCAGCAGCAGTTTCACATTCATTTCAACCGCTGCACATTCTCTTCCCTTTGTTTCCCAGTAGTGTTGCAGTGTTCTCCTCCTCCTCCTCAAGTATTTGCATAGGTCAAGTCATATCTCATTTTGGTGGTGTTTTTTTGCAAAGGCAGCAGATTGACGCACTCGTCTGTTTGTAGATCAGCTGTCAGGCCTGGGAAAAGCTCAACAGCTGCTCATTTCCGCTGAGGATCAGACGCATGCTGGAGTGTGCATTAATTACTAGTGTCGCTGGGCTGTTGCGAGTCTGTGCTGTGAGGTAGAGCTTCATACGCAGGCAGATCCGTGTCAGGCTCTGAAACTGTAGCCTGTGGATCCTCCGAGGACAGGATGTCAAACGGGACGTCAATGGATTGGACCGACTGACGAATGCTTTCCTCGTATGTGGGAGGAGGCTGTGGAGAAAACAAAGATAAAGCTGGAGTTAAAGCACACGTGTGACATAACAGATTGTGCAGGATAGATAACTTATGAGCACATGTTCAGAGGGGGTTTTGCTGGTGACCAAACGTGTAAGGCATGGGTCTCGAACTCAATTACTAGAGGGCTGCAGCTCTGCACATTTTTGCTCCAGCAAACAGTATACAAAATATACAGAGGTGTTCAAAAGAGTCATGGACACCTTCATTAGTTGGATCAGCTGTGTTTGATCAGAGTTGAAGCAAAGCTGTACAGAGCTGTGGGCCTTCAGGAATTGAGTTTGAGACCTAGGCTGCGTCCGAAACCGCATACTTCCATACTATACAGTACGCTAAAATCAGTATGCGAGCCGAGTAGTATGTGAGTAGTATGCGAGAAGTACCCGGATGACTTACTACTTACGGCGCATCCCATGGATGCTGCGCTATCCCATGATGCCCCGCGAGAGAATTCAAGAATGGGAGTGAAGCGACACAACTGACGTAGGTAGGTCACGTGACCAGGCCCGGATTGGCTAATCGGGCGGACTGGGAGAATTCCCGGTGGGCCGGTCCGTTTTTTGGCCGCGAGGGCCGGTGTCCCTAGCTCCAGAATCTGTCGCTCTCAGCAGTCACACTTTTTAAAAAATAATTCATTTATTTACTTGACCACAGCCTTCTTATTCACTATTTTACCGCAGCTCTGCTCTTTTTATCTATTTTCTCGTAGTCTCGTGAGCAAGATGCAGCCTGCAGGTTAATGATGACATAACTAGATAAGTCACCATTCAATGTACAGCTGTTGTGGTACAGTGGTTAGCACATCAGGTTATGCCTCCGCCAACCCGGATTCGGTCCTCGTCTGAGTAACATTTTTTATTTTTATTGTTAAGACATATAATACTGTAAGGGTTGTTGAACATTTGAAGTTCTAAAACAGCTGTTTTCTAAAAAAAGACGTGATAGTGTAATTAGAAACTGAATTAGAAATGACCTTAATTTAATATAAGTGTTCCTCTTAAATTTTTACTCACTCCTCTGACCTCTAAAGGGTGCTCTAGCGACAGACGCTAGAGGCCATGGTCTTTAGCCTCCTTGGTAGAGCGCCCGACTCCCATGCAGAAGGTTGCCGGTTCGAAACCAGCTCGGAGCGGGTTGGGTGGCGTAGAGCCGACAAGGGTTACATTGGTGCCGTGACCCGGATGGGAGTGAGGTTTACCTGCACAGCACACACTAGCTGGCCTCCGTTACACTAATATGGACCCTTTAAGTGACAGCTTCCACCCCAGTGACAGCTTGCGTACCTTTATTTCTGAGAGTGTGCTATTGTCTGTCTCAGTCAGTCAGGGATGAGCAGATCTACCGTGAAAAGCCTTTGGCAACAAACTACTGTTTACACTCAGGGTGCAAACAGACACGTGGCGATTATTTTATTATTATTCAATACTGCTGCTGGTTGGCAGTTCAGTACGTCCTCTGAGATAAAGACCTTTGCTCTATGCTAATTCATAACACAGTGCTCAACGTTTATTTAAACAAATTGAACAGCTGATGTTCCTTCTCAGCCTGCAGCAACTTTCCCTTCCGCATTTCATCTCTTGTCTTTCTGTCAGTCAAACCTTTGGAAACCGTAAGATTTGTTAATGTTTTAATAGAAGGCTCGCCAAGGCTGCGTTCATTTGGTCAAATCTTGAAATTACCTTGGAAGGGCTCATTTTCCGAGGTAATCATCAGGGTCATTTTAGGGCAGACAGAAGTGGATTGGACGAGTTCAGTAAGAGCAGACAGATGGACAATGAGTGTATTCTCCACTGATGTTTACTCTTCCAGAGTGCTTTATTATGTTTGATGGCCATTTATTGGCATTATCGTATTTGTTTGGTGAAATGCTCTCAGCCTAAACAGCAGCGCAGGTGAGTCCTGTCAGTGTCTGCTGTCCATTTCTGGGATAGGATCATGTTACGCTGCGGTCATTCATACTAAACATCTATTGTGCTGTTCGGCTGCACCTGCTGGAGATGAGCAGCTCGCTGACAGAGCAGATAAAAGCTTCTGAAAGCGCTGCGTAGTTCTTTTTAAGATCAAAACCACTAACTGTAACTATCAAGTAAGGGATAAAGTACATCCAGGAGGTTGTTATCGCAGAGTAAAGCCTGACAGGGTTATCAGTAGCCTAAAGCAGAGCACTGTTGTATATGATTGAATGTTTTATTCTGCGAAAAGCATAGCTGATGGAGTATACACTAACCTGCACATTATTCAGACACTAGATGGCGCCAAATAGTCAAAAACACAAAGCTGACAGAAACGATAACAGCTGATGGAGTATTCACTAACCTGCTCATTATTCAGACACTAGATGGCGCCAAATAGTCAAAAATGCAAAGAAGACAAAAACTAAAACAGCTGATGGAGTATACACTAACCTGCGCATTATTCAGACACTAGATGGCACCAAACAGTCAAAAATGCAAAGAAGACAAAAACTAAAACAGCTGATGGAGTATACACTAACCTGCGCATTATTCAGACACTAGATGGCACCAAACAGTCAAAAATGCAAAGAAGACAAAAACTAAAACAGCTGATGGAGTATACACTAACCTGCACATTATTCAGACACTAGATGGCACCAAACAGTCAAAAATGCAAAGAAGACAAAAACTAAAACAGCTGATGGAGTATACACTAACCTGCGCATTATTCAGACACTAGATGGCGCCAAATAGTCAAAAATGCAAAGAAGACAAAAACTAAAACAGCTGATGGAGTATACACTAACCTGCACATTATTCCTTCACAATATGGCGCCAAGCAGTCAAAAACTGGCTTATTAATGTGGATGTAAGTACATGGATGTGAACGTATTCACTGACGGTCAAAGTGATTCTCATTTCCTGGAGGAGTCTGTGTCATTTAGGCATTGTTATCTGGGAATAACATACTTTTTATTGTCACGACTTACCAATCAGAACTGAGGATTTCAGACAGCTCTGTAATGACTATAACTATTATCCAGTTCCGAGCATCCAATAATGCGGAATTTGAATTGTTCAACTTTTCGATCTAGTCAAACTATCGAGGTCATGAAAACAGGATATAGCCGACAACAATTGTAATGAGGGGAAAAGTACATTATATTCAAATGTTTAAAGCACTTATTATTAAAAGAAAATAGACTTTAACAGAATAAACTGAAGTGTTTACTTAATGTGTTGTTTACAGACAGGTAAATTCAATTAAATGAAAGAAGAATATATATATATATATATATATATATATATATATATATATATATATATATATATATATATATATATATATATATATATATATATATATATATATATATATATATATATATATATATATATATATATATATATATATATATATATATATATATATATATATATATATATATATATATATATATATATATATATATATATATATATATATATATATATATATATATATATATATATATATATATATATATATATATATATATATATATATATATATATATATATATATATATATATATATATATATATATATATATATATATATATATATATATATATATATATATATATATATATATATATATATATATATATATATATATATATATATA